GGTCTTATTAGAACAATGTCATCAGCAAAGCGGAGGTGGTATATTTGCTGACCATCTATCTTCACTCCCATTCCTTTCAATTCCGGTCATCACTTGACGTTCTCAAGGGTAGAACTGAAGAGTTTCAGTGAAATAGTATCACCCTGCCGTACCCCTCTCTTGACATGGATGATCACTTCTTTGTAGAATGGGGAGATCCTGGTAGTGAATCCATAATACAGCTCACGGAGGATCCTGATGTATTGAGTTTGAACACCCTGTTTGCCTAGGGCTTCGATGACTGCTTCCATCTTAACAGAATCAAAGGCCTTCTTTAAATCAATGAACATTAGACAGAGCGGCATCTTGAACTCCCGAGAAACCTCAACTCTATCCTCAGGGCCTAGAATATTGTCTGGTATACAGAGGTCTTAATGAATGACTTGGAATTGATGTCCAAATGAAATGCGAAAAGGTCAAAGAATGGTGTAATGAATAGATAAGCAGTAGTTTGCCACAGAAAATTATTTGCAAATTAAGTTTTGAAATAAACATTCTAATTTGGAAACAAAAAACTTGTGAAAATATAGTCTTATAACTATAGCTTCTTCTTAAATTTTTTTTCACTGCAAATGCAACATTCAAATAAAATTTACATACACTCCACATCCTTCTGCTCTATTAAGTGTGATAGCTTATTAATGTCATCTTTTTAAGAAAAGGAACAAATTTGGATAACACAGACACCAGTATAAAATTAAAGTTTTTCCCCACAAAAACACAAATTTTATATGAGGAAGAAACTGGCACACCAAAAATAGCCTCAAAATAAAAGTTATTTAATAAATTGTACAATACTTTCAACTTTGAAATTAGTTTGTATTCTTAGTCTTCTTTCAGGTAAATATTCAATAGGTTACCAGTATTAATTTTTTTTTAATTAATGTTTACTTGGTTTTTCTTAAGAATTCTTTTTTTATTGGAAGGGAGTGGTGATGCTTCCTAAGCAAATGCCTAGGGGGCGTCTAGGGACCACTCTAAGTCATACTTAGCCTGTGTGAGTGGAAGGTTCAATTCAATGCAGTGAAAAGGCATTGTGTGGACCTAATGGTGCTATGTAGCACCATGATTAATCCCAGAGTACTGGGGGCCAGTAGGATCACCTGGTTTGCTTGGGAGGTCATGTGATGCTGGGGAAACAACTCTGGCCTTAAGCCTGCATGATGTGACCCTTTGAGTTAAAAGGGTTGAGCTAATTATTTAGCAAATTATGTGAGTACATAGATTTATAAGTGATTATTTACATATTAAGAAGTCAATGATATAATATGCAAATAGAGTTAAGCATGGTTAAAAATTTAATTGTAAATTCTTTATGGCACCACACTTCTTAGTTGCAAATATAAATATGTGAATTGAGTATTGTTAAAAACTGTATGTAGAACCACATACAACAAATATCAATCTTAAAACAGCGTGCTTTCACAGATGGTTGGAAAGAGTTCCCTTAAAAAACGGTGAGCATACAGTTCCACAGAGGTCCCACCTCACCCTCTATGAGTCTCTTTATTGCCTTTTAAAGCCACAGCCGAAGGCCAAGGATATGGCTTAAATGGTAGAGCATATATCAAGCAACTGCATGTTTAAGCCCCTGAATTTGATCCTGAGCACTAAACTACTCGGCTGACACAGCCAGACTTGGTACCATAGGGAGCATTTTCCTTCCCCTGTCTGATGGCTACTGTTTTTATTAAGAAAAAAAGAATTAATAATAATAAAATTGCTTAATTTATATGTAAGTTTGCAACAACTTGAGTATTGGATATGCTCTTTCATAAATGAAATAACTTCCATGATTTTCAATATAATTTAGATAAAACCTTTCACTGGACTATTCCTACATCTATCTTCTCAAAGATTTAGTTAAACAGAGTCTGTGAGTAGCACCATTGATCTCAATAGATCTCAATAATAATGAACATGGGCTGGAGTGATAGCACAGCGGTAGGGTGTTTGCCTTGTGAGCAGCCAGCCAGCCAAGCCGGGTTCGATTACTCTGCCCCTCTCAAAGAGCCTGGCAAGCTACCGAGAGTATCTTGCCCATACGGCAAAGCCTGGCAAGCTACCCATGTTGTATTCAATATGCCAAACACAGTAACAACAAGTTTGACGATGGAGACATTACTGGGCCTACTCGAGAAAAATCGATGAACAACAGGAGGACAGTGCAGTGTGGTGCTACAGTAATGAATATAACTCCCAGAACATCACTTTTGTTGTCATATAATATAAGCTCACATTACTATTTTAGACATCCTGATGCTGGTTATTTCCTTCATGTTTTCTAAATAGCCAAACCAACGCAGTATTTGCTTTATATATTGTTCGCTACCTGACATGAGTTCCAAGAAGACAGAAAACAATGCTTATACTGGAAAAATTTAGAACAATCCTCACATATCACAAAATGTTCAAAACTGTGATATCTAGTACATATTGTTCTAGATATTGCTTTAATTCTTTCACATTTTTCATGAGAATTTTCAGTATCCTCAGTCTGCAGTTTTAATCAGCTTATGCCTCAAGTATATAATCTAAGGAATTTTTACTTTCAACATGTTGAACCATTTCTTGCCTAGAGGATCCTTTCATACCCCTGTTCAGTCAATATCATTAAGCTATTTTGTCTAATGTGCTCTTCCACATGTTCTGGCTGAAATCTTATTTCCATATTAAATATCTAAGTTTATCATACTCTTATGGTATTTTAAAATGCACTCTCAATTACACTGATGGAGAAATGGATGTTGGAAAACTATCACTGAAACCCAATCATGAACAGCTTTGTAGTGCTTTATCTCAGTGATTCAATAAAATATTTTTTTAAAAAAGAACTCTCAGGCAACAACTATTTCATTTTAAATAATTAGTATTATTTTTACCTTTCATAAGAAAAATGCTATCGGTTCATAGAATGAAATAGATCTGGACAGAAACATTTAAAAGCACTTATTTTAACCCAAGTAGTCTCCATCAAAAATTTAGTCTTGGTTTTATAAAGATTTATTTCTAAATTACATAGCACAAATTATGGTTTTGTTAGAAGTACAAAATGATGTGACAATTATGATGATGATAAAGTAGTGGTTTAATTACATACATGCAGTGGCCACATTAAGCGAGATATACTCAAGTATTTCAATAAAGAAAACATTTTAATACACCTGTTAATACTTAAGCAGCAGGTACTCAATTATTGAATTTTGGGTTTGAGAGATTTAGCAATTTACTCAATGCTACAGAATGGTAAGAGGCAAAAACCAGGATTTGAGCCTAGATATTCCAGATTCAGTGTCCTTTCTCATATTCTAAACCACAGTGCTACTCTGAGATTCAAAATATAACAAGATAAGACTATTAGATAAAAAGAAAACTAAAACACAAAGGAATTCTTTCATACAATATCTGATTTTCTGGCAAATACATTTATTCCACATGGTTAAGTCCAATTTCTATAATCTCACCTCTCTTATGATTGAGGACATTGTATTGGGAATATAATATATAGTATCATAATTTTGTTTGAAGAAGCAAAATGATACTTGAACAGTTCATGTAAATGCAAATAAGTATCAGTGAGAACATTACAATTTTAGAATCATTTGTATCTATCTTCCCTCAGATATAATAAAATCACAGCCTCTTCTAAGACCTTCTTGGCGACTAATATGAAAGCCTATATTTCAAAATCTGGCGTAACTCTAGAAAAGCATAGGAAATATATACCTAAATTCTTTAGGAACTTAAAAATGTAAACACCTAAGGAATTAAAACAAGTTTTGAAAGTAAATGTTCATATACTATATTTCTTCATATATTCCCTCTTTTCCTTCATTAAGGATTGCTTATTTTAAAAAAAAGAGAAAACTCTTAGTATTTGAATTGAAAATTGGATGTGCTTTTCTCTTCTGTGAAGTTTTTTTAAAATATATTGCTTCTCATGATACAGGGGAAAGCTTTTCTTTATTGCCTTTACAAATCAAGGGTAAACCACAAATGCTTAATTGAGCAGACTGATGATTAGATAGAGAAAAATGATGAAGGAAAGATGCCAGCACAAACAGAATATGGCCATTCATTTTTATCCCAAATGAATCAACTACTGCTCATGAATGTGGATCTAGTACGAATTCTGGCAGCAAACCACCAAGAGCACTAACCCTATGCCGGAGCTCCACTTCTGCATACAGACAGATTTTTCTTGTTTTTCTTGCTAGAACACACTAAATAGCTGTCTTTGCCTTGTTGGCACAATTTAAAAACTCTTCAATGAAGAATTATAAACATAGTGAATGTGATAGACTTTCTCCCACTCTGAGCTCTAAACACTCAAAGCTTGAAAATGTTTTATAGAATTAGGCAGCAAAGTTATAATATGCTATGTCGGCAGGAATTCTACTAGCCATTAGCCATCTCAGATCTAAATTCTTGGCATCAATTTGAAACAAAACAAAAAAGTAATGTTAAAAAAGAGACAAGTCTCAAATTGCACTCCTGAAAAAGAAACAGAAAGTTCTCCAAACCCAAACTCTTACATATGCATGGATGAATTTGGTTCTTTTGATGTTTGATCGTCATCTACGGAAAGAGATTTTAAAACAAGCAACTTGCCATTTCAAGTTGTTATCTTTGAGCTTTTCCTAACAGACTGTTTGATTGCAAGACCTTTCCAATGCTATAATAGTAGAAATAAGCCCTTGTAAGGTTTACTGAATTCTTCCTATTCTCAAAACAAGATTCCTCTAGATAAGTACCAAGGATGGAAAGTAGCTCCCCATTATGTGTAAAAGATACCCAGGTGAGTCAGAGAACTTGGCCAGCAATTTAACTGGGCTTTATGAAAAATACTCTGTAATAGAAGTGTCACTTTTAATTAGACCTAAAGTAAGGAACAAAGCTCTTTCATTTTAGAAAATGGGTGATGAAATTTGAAAATAGTATGAAAAAAGCAAACCTCTTACCTTTTGTAGCAATTCGTACACATTGGGTTTTAGTTTCCTGGAGGAGAAAGAAAAGTGAAAGGAAATTATTGATAGTTTCCTGTCTCATAAAATGCAACTATTATAATAAACAATACTGGGCTATCAACTACCTTTATAAAGAACAAAATGGTAGTATTAATAAAACTGCATTTTAAAGTATGTATTTTCAGAATAATTTTTTTTTAATTTGGAGCGATATCTGGTGGTGCTCAGGGTCCCAGATCTACACTCAGCTGCATGCAAGGCCAGAGCCCCACTGGTTATTCTATCTTTCATGCCCCAGCTCAGAATGATTCTTTAAACTAAAATAAGAACTAAAAAACAATGAAAGTATTTTATATAATTTAGGCCATTTGTATATACCACATAATGATAAAGATAATCTGGTATTGAATAAATACTTAAGTACTCTAGCTGTATTTATCATACTTATTTGTGTGAATAAAAAAATATACATATATTTGCTTTACAGATCAGACCCAAGATGCTTTACAGATGAGACCACTCTCCGCACACCTGAAGGTACCGGCGGAGGGACAAAGCCACGTGGGTTCCGGGGCCGAGATCTCCAAGCCAACTCGGATTGGAGTCGAGCATCCTCCACCCAGATCCTCCAAATTCCAGTAGGCGGGGGTCACACCCACCAACTGGCCCCCTGGCTCCGTGTAATCCCATCAGCGGCCAAGACTCTGAGACTATAAAAACCAGATCCTGGACATCTTATTATGACATCTTATTCCTACTTTGACAAACTGGCAAGGTACCGAATGTAGCCTGCCCACACGGCAGAGTCTGGCAAACTCCCCGTGGCGTACCCAATATGCCAAATACCAGTAACAATGATGGGTCTCATTCTCCTAAAGAGCCTTGAATATAACCTCAGGGCCAGGATGAAGGAGACGTTACTGGGGCCTGCTCGAGGCAATCGACGAATAACAGGATGATTTGTGATTTGTGATTGTGATCAGACCCAAATATAACTTCATATTAACCTCAGAGCTGTAAACTTAGGCTGAAGATCAATATCAGAAATTCTTTTGTTTGTTTTTATATGGGTGGTCATAGCAGGCAGTGCTCAGGCCTTACTCCTGGATGGCTCTGCACTCAGGGACCACTCTTGACAGTGCTCTGGGAACACATGGGGTGCTTGGGATTAGACTTGCATGAACCACATATAAGACAAGTGTGCTGCTCACTCTATTATCTCTCAGGTCCTTGTATTAGAAACTCAACAGAGATTGTAACATGCCTAAAAAGATAAATTGTAGTGATAAAAAAAAGATAAAAAATAGTACCATATTTGCTACGTGATTTCTGTTCTTTATATTTTAATTCAGCTATCTCATAATGGGATTATGTTTCTTGTAGGCTTAAGACACAGAGAAAGGAGAAGCAGAAATAGAAAAAGATACAAATTGTTTAATTTCCTGCTTTTTCCCTGTTACACATGTAGGTATGTGTGCCTTTGTGTGTGTGCAATAATAAAAACTGTTAAATCTTCTGTTTTTTTTTTTTCTCATTTTGTGTGTGTGTGGGGGGGAGGGGAGTTTGCAGGATGGTACTCAAGGTAGAATACATTTCCAGTACTGCATCTCATTCTGTCAGGACTTGGTTCACTTAGTTTTTATCTTTGAATAGACAGGAGACAGGAAGAAAAGATGTTAAAGCCAGTGAACAAAATAGAGGCTATTTGTTTCCAAAAATGCATTTATTACTCCACTTTGGGTGACTTTATGATAATCAATCAGAACATCTAATATTCTTTTAAGCATTTGTTACTTTTAAATTACATAATACGAAGTATTGAGGGTGGAGTTCATAATTAAAATGAAAATTTTGCACTTCAATTACTAATTGTGGTTTGAGGCCCTGTAGTGAGTTGACAGAGATTGTTTCAGAAAGACCCAAAGGGATTTTGATTCCCTAAAAGCAATCACTGTTATTTCCACCAGGATTACCAACCTCTGCTGGTAGGAGTCACGTCAATTCTGAAAATTCTGGCCAAGATAACCATGAAATGCACACTGTGACCCTACACGCTGATTAAATTGTATGTAGACATATTAATAATTAGGAGAGAAATTTCATATCAAAGTTTTTAAAGCTTGTCAAGAGAAAAAATCCATTAAAAGCATCAGGCATTTATGATCACTCCTCTCATATAGACAAGTATAACAAAAGTAAACTTGGGATCTTTCATCTCTAAAGATAAATGCCCAAACACAGCTCTGTATCTTCTATCACTTGCTATTTTATAGTGAGAACAGAATAACAATTTCTATAGCTTTATCTGTTTTGTGAATACGCTAGTTATACCAGTGATATGGATAGATGTATTGGTGGGAACTGGTAACTGAGGTGCTTTGAAAAGTCTCCCACTAAGCCTGCCTCATGATCTGTGGAAGAAGGCAGCTGGGATAGAGAAGGGATCACTAAGTCAATGATGGGATCACTTGGGATGGGAGATGTGTGCTGAAAGTAGATAAAGGACCAAACATGATGGTCTCTCAGTATCTGTATTGCAAACTATAATGCCCAAAAGCGGAGAGAGAAAGAGGGAAATTATCTGTGAAAGAGGCAGAGGGAGGGGTGGGGAAGGGATACTGGGGACACTGGTGGTGGAAAATGTATACTGGTGGAAGGATGGGTGTTTGATCATTGTATGACTGAAACTCAAACATGAAAGCTTTGCAACAATAGCTCACAGTGATTTATAAGAAAAAAAAAAGTCTCCCAGTAATATAGAAAAGTCTCCAAGTTAAATAGAACCAGGTGATGAGAACATGCTAATCATGTTTAGTCTTTGATGATGTTGTACATCTTAGAAGACACTGTGGTATTTTTCTTTGCCATGTAATGTAAACACATTGGTAAGCAGAAAATAAAACTTTTGTTGAAAGGCACCCAGTCAATACTCTTAATTTTTCATGATTCGCTGAGAACTGTAAATAGATGACGATGTTGTTCACTTAAATTCTTCCAAGACAGAATCTGACCACCGCAATTGTAGATCACACATTTCATATCATCTCCCAGATCCCCACATCAGGGACTCAATTACCCAAACCCAGCAATTTCCTATATAGCCACCAATATATAAAAATGTCACTCCTCTATTAGATTTTAAATTGCGATTGTTTTCTATCTTCAATACATTTTTTTTCTACTATGCTCTTTGAAAAAAAAGAAAAAAAACAACTGAAATAAATTAAGTAAGTTTTAGAAGAGAAAATCTTTCAAAGACAACAGCATGAGGCGTGAAAGGCCAGGTTATTTCCGCCACATATGGAACCACTGGTTGTTCTGAACTTCCTGTTGTGTTTTCCTCTTCGATATTCATTTGGGATCAGCGGCAGTGTTGAAAAACAACTGTGTCCAAAATGGGGAAAGGAGGGGAACCAGGGAAGCAGAAAACAGACTTCTCTTAATGGCACAGCACCCAGCCATCCCCAGGCAGCCTTCTGCTGAGGTTCTGTCAGCTATACTGCAGGCGCCCTATTACTTTGTAATCAGAGGATTGTTACTTGTTATTTACTATTTGGCTGGTACCCCCCAAAAAGTTTAGAAGGGTTTATTAGCCTGCTGTGATACATGCATTCTGTTTATCCTGCTGTAAATTTAATCTTCTGAAGTGTGCCACAGTGGAACGAGGCAGAACAATGCCCCGTATTTACCAGGGGGTAGAGTCTTGACAACAAGCCCTCCCGCCTCTTCCAAACATTTCACTCACAACTGCTCTCGTGGGCTTTCCTAAGGAAAGTTCAAGTAGAGGCAGTTGCTAGGAAACAGGAATCCTGGGCCACGTAACTGGCATGGAGCCTCAGCTCCATACAGGTCCCAAACAGTATTAATGTTGGACACAGATGCAACTACCTCGACACAACCCCCATTTGTTAATCCTTATTAAATGCTATCTAATATTTAAAAAATGTGACCGCAGTTTTTCTACAGAAAAAGTGCACCGGTCCAATCTTCGGAGGAGGCTTACCTTTTCCACACTGCTCATGGCTTGGAAATAGATGTTATAGCCTTTGCGTGGAGCCAAAGGGGGGTTCCAAAAGCCCTGATAAGTCCTATTATCACCCACAGTGAATGGAGCAGGTTCAGGAAGATTCCCTGGAGGCAGTTCTGCAGCGAAGTAGTAGGGAGAGGCCCCGCTCAGGGCGTTTTGGTAGGTGACAGGAACCTGATAGCATTCCATGGCTCCGGCTTCTCTCTTGGTTCGGTGTGGGTGAAGCTCCTCCACCACAATTTGATAGGCACTTGAGGGGAACAGAAAAAAAAAACTTCCATTGAGAGAGTAGATACTAATACTAGTAGCTCAAATTATAATATTAATGTTAATATTTTAACACACAGCGTACAGCCACGTACAAGTCAGACTACCTGACCACACTCTGCTTTTCAACTAGACAGCAAGAAATTAGAAATCACTCATGGATCCTAGTTTCCCCAATTCTTGGGGAATTCTTAAGAAAGAGAAATAAGATGTAAGGGAAAAAAATCATTATTTTTTTCTATCCATCTTGAGATGTTGAGAAAAGACCCACCAAAACAAGGAACGAGCAAATACACAGAGCAGCTTGGGTTTTGTTTGTCGTGCCATACCCGGCAATGTTTGGGGGCTACTCCAGCTTTAGTACTCGGGGAGGGGTGGGGGTAACACGCATTGGTGTTCAGGGGATACTGTAGTGCCAGGGGTGGGACCTGGTCTCCTGTATATAGGGCATGCAGTCTAGTAAAACAGTACGCGCGCTCTCTCTCTCTCTGCTCCCAGTTCACTAGGAGACATTTTCAAATATTTAAAGTTAAGAATTTCTTTTGAAATAATTTTGAATTTCTTTTGAAGGCACGGCTGCAAGCACTAACAGAATGTGGGCCTCAGGGTGGGGCTCTCAGCACTGGTTCGAGGTTGCCATGGTACTAGAGACAAAATGTGCTCCAAGGCACCTTTTGACCTTGTCATGGCATCAGCCTTGGCTTGGAGCTATGCAGATTCAAAGCAAAAGTGACATGCCGCAATCCAGCACAGATGGACAGAAATCTGTCCCAGCCACTGAAATAGACTTCCTCCTTCTTCTTCTAGAGTTGTTAATAATAAAATGTTAAAAATTGTAGAAGCAGATGGCATTTGGCCTATTATGGCTCCAAATCAAACTTTCCAGTACCTTTCTTAACAAGAATTAGAACTTCCCTACAATAGCTATTATTTTAAAAAAGAAACAAATAAAAAAGAAAATGTAATTTAAATATACGATCTACCTAGTCATTAATAAGATTATTCCTATTAGGGTCTTAAACTGGAATATTATTAATATAATCTGTTTAGAGCACTCATAAGGTGAGTTTATTATTTGTTGGTAATGTCTGTTAATATTAAGTAGATACAGAATATGTATAAAGCTGTAGGTTTGAGTCTTGAGTCTCTGGGCAAAAATCCTCATTCTATATAGAGAAATCACTCATTATTCAGTAGCTTCCTGGTAGAAACAGAATATTTTGTTTAATAGATTTCCAAAAAAAGAAAAAAGGAGAGACAGAGAAAGAGAATATATATCTATAGCAATTAAAGATCATTTTAAATGCAAGTTTAGAAACTTTACAAAAATTTATAATTTAATACGACTCAATTACACAGCGGTAGGGCGTTCGCCTTACAAGCGGCCAACATGGCTGACCCGAGTTCGATTCCTCCACCCCTCTCGGAGAGCCCGGCAAGCTACCGAGAGTATTCGATATGCCAAACACAGTAACAACAAAGTCTCCAATGGAGACGTTACTGGGCCCGCTCGAGCAAATCGACGATCAACGGGAGGGCCTTTACCTTTTACCTTTTACCTTTACCAATTGTCAATTATACTTCAAGTTCTCATTAAATTCTCATTTATTCAAGTTCTCAATTTTATTAAATAGTGCTAAGAAATTGAAAGATCAGTGTTCCCCTTTCCATAAATAATAAGATAGACCTCATATTAATGCAGAAAATCATGATTTTGGCAGGTAAGTAAGGCAGAAGTCTTACTTGACATTTGTATAGATTGCAACAGTCTCTATAGCTCTGCTGTATTGACTCTCTAAGTTCCTAAGAATGCTCTGACATGATTAGTCCTATCTAAAGGGTTCATAAAGCAGATACAAGTCAATTTTAACATAGAAGAAATAGGTAAGCATGGGTCTTGGAATGAAAAGTGTTTAAATCATGGCCCACAAATGTCATGGTAAGCAAAAATTGTATCTCATTCCATTTATTTAAAAATAAGTTACATATTTATGAATACAGGTGGACAGACAAAAGATAAACCTACATATACATAATCCAAAACAGGTCTAATCTTATATCATTTCCTTAATGGGAGCACTGTAGCACTGTCCTCTCATTGTTCACTGATTTTGCTCGAGCGGGCACCAGTAATGTCTCCACTGTGAGACTTCTTACTGTTCTTGGCATATTGAATATGCCACAGGGAGCTTGCCAGGCTCTGCAGTGTGGGCGGGATACTCTTGGTAGCTTGCCAGGCTCTCCAACGGGGCAGAGGATTTGAACCTGCCTTGTTCAAGGCAAACACCCTACCCGCTGTACTATTGCTCAAGCCCTCCTTATTCATCTCTGTTAATTTATCCTAATCCTTAAAACAATTCTTTTTAATTAGCCTACATCTCTAGAAAAAGTCAGAAAACTCTAGTGAATACTCAGCTTTAGATAATTCTGTTAAGTTAAAATATGGCACACATTCCAAATTAAGAATTCCTTGCGAGACAGCCCACCTCTCCAGAACTACTAGGAACAAGTAAACCACCAATGTTGGGTAAAAATGTATGAAGAAAAGTTGCAATCTGCTATTTGGAAGAAGCCTCAAGAATTAGAGATGAAGCCTGAACTACAAATTATAACTTGTAACTAAAAGAAATTAGCCTCCCTTCATTGTTCAATTGGTCTTAGCAGGCTCTAAGCCAATCACATACTTCTAGTTTCCCCTGCTACTTACTTATCAATACAAATTAATTAAAGGTCAAATGTGAAATCAAATTAGAATTTGACTGATTCCATGAAATGGATCTGTGTTTATTCACCTCTATGATCATCTCATTATCTAATGTTACTTAATTCTAGCTGTATTTAAATATTTTATGAACATAGTATTCTAATAGTTATAAATATTGCAAAGCTACCCGATTAGTTCTATTTATTCTACATATTTCACATAGTCCTTATTTTAATTAATCAAATTTTAAAAAGTTTTTACAATAAAACCAATATATGGGAACTACAAATTTCACTCAGCACTCAAAATGTCTACCATAAATAAAGTAACAAAAAGTTATTTCACTATACTATGATTAATTAAACTATTAGTATATAGTCTTTAAAAAAAGTCAAATAATACACTCTTATTTTGTAATTTTGTCTCAGTTAAAATTAAAGGACATATTTGGCTCTAGCTCAGAAGCGATTTTATGATGCATATGGTAAATGGACTTCTGATATAATGCTACAAATTTTAGCGATGAATCTGAAAGTACTTAAAACAGCCTGCTGTGGCATTTTTAACCTATTAGAAAATAAAACATCTATAAATTTGTTTCTAAGTTTAGCTTGTACAACTTCTCTGATAGCAAACAAGTACTACAATAATATACTTTCCTCACATTTTACCTGTCATGTTTATGGGTTGGAGGCACATTATTTAGGCTGGAAGCCCAAGGTACAAACTTAGGCTTCCAGCCTGCATAACATGTGCTTGGTATGTACATACATTGGTATGTACATATTGGTATGTACATTGGTATGTACATATCAGACCTCTAAAACATGGCAATGCTTTTAATTTTATCCCACAAGTTCCAAAGTCTTCTGTAAGAGCTTACGTCAACCACTGTTCATACTGCGTCAAGCACTGTTCACACTACACAGTAAAAGTTTAATTATCATCTGTTGTCCATCATATTTCCTATTTCCCTTCTCTTTACTCCTGAACCCACTAACTGGTTCTTTTCTGATTTACTTAGAGGAGCTAATATAGACTAAGCAAAGGTAATTCAAAATTCTTAGGAGTTGAAGCAATAATCCTAGCATGCAGCCAATATGGTTCGATCCCAGACATCCCATATGGTCTCACAAAGAGTGATCCCTGAGCACAGAGCCAGGAGTAAGCACTGAGCATAGACAGGAGTGGTACCTGAAACAAAATAAATAAATATAAATTTGTCATTATTAGGGAAAAAAAACCCAAACCTCAAAATCCTGGTATTAACTTTAACAAGTGTTTTCTTGTCTCTGTTCTCTTTCTCTCTTTTTTTAAGTGGTTGTTTTGTTTTGATTTTGGTATGGGAATATACCCAGCAGTGTTCAAGGGACCAGATATATGCAAGCAAGATAGAACTGGGTTTGGTTGTATGCAAGGCAAGCACCTTTAACACCATTCTCCAACAGATTCTATTTTAATCATGTTTTATCTCCCTTGTAAAATACTATTTCCTTTTGTTCCCGCCACTCTATTAGGGAATGTATATTTATAATTCTAACAAATTTTTCTTGCCTCTGGTTTCTTCTTCATATATTCTAGGCAATTATCTAATAATTTCTGGACACTACTTCTATTTCACTATTAAATGATTTTGTATATTAACTATTGAAACTGTTAACATGAAACTTCTACTTCCTCAAAATTGATGGGTCTTTTACTGCAAAAACTTACATTACATTTGATATCTTAAGATACTTTTTTTCTAAATGATTTAGGAGTACTGCTATTTGTTCAGCCATTGATTAAGCTGATTGAATTGAGCATGAACTCCACAGTACTTTTTTATTTTACTGAGTCACCGTGACATAGAGTTATGAAGCTTTCATGTTTGAGAGTCAGCTATACAATGATGAACACCCATCCCTCCACCAGTGCACATTTTCCACCAACAATGTCCCAATATCCCAAGTATCACCCCCCCCCCCCACACACACACACATACATATCACAGACCTCATCCTGCCTCTATGGCAGACAATTTCCCCAATATTCTCTCTCTAATTTTGGGCATTAATTTTGCTCGAATTTTCCCACCACCATTCAAGCCTATCTGCCCAGGGCAGATGATGCTAGATAATATATTTTCCATAGCTCATTTAGAATATTACGAGAGCTCGCATGGCTGTGATTGTAAATGGAAATTTCTAGATTGCAAATCGTTGGGTTCCAGAGACATCTCTGTATGGCACTAATCCATTTTGGGATTCAATTGGGAGTCTCTGGGACAGGGCTGTTGG